GCCAAGGAGTCACTTCTTATTCACTGAGCAGCTCCGATACTTAATGGAACAGATCGGTCTGTTCTAATTGTATGTATATCCTGACGGCATTGACAGAAACAAAAAGAAGGGATATGGATGACTTGTACAATCAGAATAGTCAAGGATAAGAATACTATAAAACCCAAGTATTGATAATGGTGCGCGGATCTTTTTTTTATATGCGCATTATAAAAAAAGACTAATCTAGGTTATGTTTTGATTTCTCTTTTTTCGTTCTGCATTATCACATAGGGAAAAAACGTAAAGAAGTTTTGTTTTTCAATTCTTGTACACTTAGTTTTGTAACGTTTTGAAAATGATCGGTTAAAGATCGAAAATATCAACTAAATAAAATGAAGTTTAAAACAGCTGCAATTATAGTCAAATTTTTGATCAGTAAGTCGTTGCCCTCATACACTATAAAGTTTCATCATTTGATGCACATAAAAAGTTGTCTATACGAACGATATCAATTTCTTATTGTGTCAAACCTTCAGTAAATGATAGTAGAAAAAATAGGATGAAAAGTCAGAAGTTTTTTTGAATTTAGGGTGCGTTTCCCGAATTTTTCGATCTGTTAACATAATTAAATTCTGTTTCTAAACACATATTTTAAACGATAAATCATCTTTACACATTTTAGACTGTTCTTGAAGAGATAAAAAATATTTTTTTGTGTGATTATAGAATAAAATTGGCAAAATATCTTCTAATGGGTTCATTTACGATTCAGTGTTTAATACTTACAAGCTTGAGAGAAAATGTGTGAAACTGAAAACGTATTTTTGACGAATTTCAATTACTTTCAAGTGAACATGTAAAAATATAGATAGTATTTTGTTTATAGCTGAGCAGTAGCAGCAAAATGTCTGCTAATTCCTTTTTTAACAATTTCTTTATCATGTATCTACAACAATCGTATCGGAAATGCAAACTTGCTAGGAATTTTTTTAAAGTTTAAGAGTAATATTTACGTAGATAATGCGTACGATTTTTGTCAAAGTTTTTGTTCGAAAAATGATTACATATTTTATGCTTTGAAGAAAGTTTAAAACTTTTATTCGTGTAAACTAATTATTGAAAATCATCAGCGCTACAAGCAAACGATGTCCGTACAATATTTAGATATTATTATTTAATAAAATAAGATAAATAGAATAATAGAAGACAACGCATAAAACTACCAAGTCTAGTCTTGTATAGTATTTCAGTTATTGCGGCTACAATATTTGCTTCTTCGTTCGACGTTACAATTTGACTAAGAGAATGTTAACTAATTTTGACTATACTCATATCACAGATTGGTCTTTTTGATGAAAATTTAATTTAGCTAGAAATTTTGTTTTTCTCGTTCAATGTAATCATCAATTACTTGTTCTAACAAAGTCAATGGTAAACAACCATGTACCAGTACAGCTATAATTCATAAAACAAAACCCGCAAAATATTAACTTGAAAAACCAGAGAGAAAAAAGTTATGTACCTTCATGAAATTTTTTAATATCAAATTTTGTTTTTAAAGCATCTTGCGCTTTCTGACGTAATGATAAAATTTTCAGACAACCAACCATGTAGGCACACGCTTGTCCTGGTAGAACAAAGTAACGGTCAATTTCAGTTACCACTTCGGTTCGGTGCATACAGGTATTTTTCATCTGTAAATAAAAACGATAAATATGGTGCATCAATATTGCGGACATAACAAGTTATACCATGTACTCAGTTGCTTGTTCACGTGACCATTGCTTAGAATGAATACCGGTATCGACTACCAATCTATATTGCAAATACAAGGTTGTAGTCCTAATTGGTAGCGCACAGTGTGCATCCAGGCGAGCTTTTGGTGAGGGCTCAAAATTGCCCCCAACAAAATTTTTTCAGTGATTCAAATAGTGATTAATATACTCTGAACTTTGCTCTATTTGATGGTAAAAAAAATTTCAAATTTTGGGCCTTCCAAGCCGGACAAACCAAATAAAACATTTTTCTATGGGGTTCTCTAAAGCGATATGTTTGACAAAATCCGTGCGCCAACTTTAGCCTAACTCCAATTTTGATGAAACTTTCAGAGAATGTGGTCATATGTATGACACGTCTACGCAGGTAGCGAAAACTTGCGAAAAGTTTTTTGTTCCGAGTTATTGATTTTCCGAAAAACTCTCGGTTTTTCAGGTCTTTTCTATTTTTCTCGGCCTAAAATGTTTCAAAATTTGAAAAAAATAGCATATTCGGAACCAGCGCAAAAAGACTGCATCGACTGATGTACAATAAGAGAGGTTTTGAACCCCAAAACGACAGATTTTACAAAATCCTGCGCTTGAAGACATTGTTCACGAAGTTTTCTAGTGCATATTCGGACATCATCTGTTACATCAGGCTCAAGCCTATAAAAATATTTCATACAGGCTTTCGAGTGTGCTCATTTCCATAGCATTGCTTTCAAAGTCCAAAAACGGTTTTTAAGAGGTTTTCCAAAGATTCAGTCCCTGGAAAAACTCTTAACAACCGTTTTTGGACTTTGAAAGCAGTGCCACTGGAATGAGCACACTCGAAAATCTATATGAAAAATTTTTTAGATCTGTACTCTGCTTTAAAGAGATATGTTCGGGTGCCTAGCCAAAAATGCACACTGTATTGGGTGCTTTAAGACCTACCGAACAGCTCGCATTAGCATTGCATCTAAATAACCAATATAATCTAACCAGTATGATTGAAAGTTATTCTCGGCAGCAAACGTTTCGGTGTACAATGCCCAGCCTTCAGTATAAGCTGTAAACTGTATAATACGACGAAACAGTGGCAAATGTTTCATTGATTGAGCAACACTAAGCTAATAAACAATGCAAAATTGACAGAAAAGTATATGATATAATTAACAAATCTTACTTGAAAATGATGACCGGGCACCGCTTCATGGTAGGCCAACGTTCTCATTTTAAATTTGGTTATTTCGTCAATTTTTCGTAAATTAACGAAAAATGTTCCTTTTGATGTACCATCTAATGCAGGTGGAAAATAATGAGCGGCGGGCGAACCTTCTTCTTTGAATACTGGTATACGCTATATCCAAAAAACGAAAGATATGACAATCAAACTTATAGTATATTCATACTTCTACATGCCTCCACCGAACACTTGTTTTTCGGCAGACATGATGGTGAAAAAAACGCATCCATTTTACTGTCAATATCAGCAATAATTTGAATGTAATCGTCCAATATTTGTTTACGACTATTTTCAACGTCATGTTTATTGTACTGATGAATTGGATCCTTTTCTAATTCTTTGATAACATTGCTGAAATCATTGGCATTTTGAACACCATTTTCTTTTAAAATTCTGCAGTATGAAAGAGGCAAAAATCACCTAGTAAAAATAGATAAGTCATAGTATATACGTTTTTATTTGCTTTTGTATTTTATCCACTTGTGTAAGACCTAACTGATGTATTTCATCAGGTGTCATATCAGTTGTAGTGTGAAACTGAAGACATAAACGATAATATATATCGCCAGAGGGCAATTGATAAACACCATGATCGGTTGTTGATCTCGATAGTTCGTTTTCTAGCATCGTGATAAGACGTGCATATGCTGGTATAACAAACGTTTTAATGACGGTTAATAAACGAGTAATCAAACTGCTACGTTTATCCAACTAATAAAAAAACATAGTATATTCATAATGAGGACGATAAAAAAAAAACATTTACCGGTAGATTGTTTTCTTTTAATTTGTCAACAAAAGTGAATACTAAAGGACTATAATAACAAACAGATGTTAGACTATCGAATAGAACACCTCGTATCTTCACCTTTGATTCGGTTCGGTTGATAATTGATCACGAAATATTTTCAAATCATTCACAACACGTTCTAATACAAATCGAGGTGTTTCAATACCATTTTCTCTTCTCTTCTTTTGTTGCTCAATTAGTTGATCAAATGCCAAGGATATACGTTGTACCTACATAGGAGACATAATTAGACTGAACGAATATTGTAATCAACATGACTTACTCGCAATAAATAAGCTTCTGCTTCTTTAATGTTTTTAATACGGTGGTATTTTGTTAGTAACGCAATTATTTCTGTTTGAGCACCAAATAGTTGATTAATCAAATAATGATGACAGAAAAATGTTTCACTTAATTGACGATTTAAACTTTCATTAGTAAAATATTCCAGCACATTATAAGATAATCGCTGAGATGATGACATGTTGCTATTTTCGAAAGACCTCAGATATGCAAGTTGTCGCTTAGTCTTTCTACGTTGACGTTCATCGAATTTTACAGAAAAATCTTGCAAATGAGTATTAAATAAATCTAGTCCTCTATGGGAAGAGATAATATATAAAAATAATTAATGATTAAATGATTAATTTCTCTTCTTACAATGGTCGTAATTGTGATAACAGATCAGGCCTTTCCAATAAATACTCAAGAACAAATCTACCATAGATAGAAGAATAATGATATAATAGGTGTCGAACAATAGTGAAGGATTTACCTAATGTACAACAGATTCAAGCTCATTGGTTTGTAGTACATATTCTTAACAACTAAAGTGCCAACAACTAATAACACAAGTAAAGCAATCATAGGTTGTACCACGAACAGGCCAGTAATTAACGATACCAAATACAACACTAATAATGGAACAGATATCAAAACAATTGTTAATGCCATCTTCAGTTCTGGCCATAACCATGAATTTGGTAAAGACAGCATTATTTTGATATAGTCAATCAGTAAGTAGGTATCGACAAGCTAGAAATAAATGTGTTATTCTGTTTTATTATGCCGGTTGTTACAAGCATGTATGATTAATTGACTAAGCATGCTCAATTTCGTAAAAAAATTGCTGTATTCCCTGTAAATTTTGACTTCACCAGAGTGGATGATCATATTATCCACTTTTCTGGCGTGCCAGTCTTAAAAGTGGATGATTTTCTTTGTTTAGATTTAGTCATCCACTATGGTGGATGAAAAGTGTTAATCGGATGGATGGCAGATTAATCCACTTTGTTAACGGCGAAGTCATCCGACCGCCCTAGTCGAGACTCCTGTCAAGGAACCCTGTATGAGTCAGGTGGGACTTTCAAGAGACTCCTGTGGGGCTTTGAGGACTTTCGAATCCCATGAGGGTCCTCAGACGTCCCTTGAAAGTCCCACCTGACTCACGCAGGATCCCGTGACAAGAGCCCCGTGGGAGTTTTATCGGGAGTCTCGACTAAGGCGGTGATATGACCATCCACTTCGGTGAAGTCGAAATTTACAGTGTTTGTACTTAATTCTAACACTTATAAACTATAGGTCTAGAATGAACTAATCAAAATAACATTCATAACCACTGTTA